GATCTTGTTATAGAACCAAGAAGGAAACTCCTGTCAGCCCCTTCTCTCTGGGCTGTGGGTGTAGTCCCGGCCATGGGGAAGGCCACCTCCTCGTCCTCCACCCTCCCACATTCAACCCACAGGAGTGACCAGACTTTCCCCTATGGATGCTCCACTTAAGCATCTACAGAGCAGAGTAAAGGGGTGCTGGTTGCAGTGGCGGGACCATGTTTGGTCTTTGCTTCATGACTCAGGGTTGAGATTGTCCTACACGCCAGCCTCGGAATTTTCCCAAACTGTTTTCAACACTCCCCAAGACTGAATTTCTAGTTATTTGCTTCTCTGAATCTTATTTATTCCAGGGACTGAGGACAAAGTATAAAGATGATGAAAAGTGGGAGAGGGAGCAGAGACAGAGACAGAGAGACGGTTTCCTCGCTGAATTAAACAATTCTCCATTTCCTAAACACATGGTAGGCATGAGTTCATATCTCCTAAGAATCAGGAAAGGCTGGCTCACAGCTGGAGGAGCTGCTGCTGCTGCTGCTGCTGCTGCTGCTGCTGGCTTCTCTTCACGGTGTGAGGAAGGAGCAGCAAGGGAGCTGAGGCAGGGGTGGTTCTTATTCAGCCTCACCAACCAGGCCCGGGGGGCTGTCCATGAAACAGGGTCTTGGTAAGAGCAGTTGGAGGGGACTTCAGCTCCTGCCATGTCTTCAGCTGTGTGACAGCCCCATGAGATGAAGTGATGATACAACTCCAGTGTGTGGCACGGAGTCCTAACAAACCCGATCCTCATTGTCCCATCTTTCCACCTGCCACACTGAAAGGGACATAAACTATAAGGACAGCCACTGCCTCTGAGTAGTCAGACACAGGATGCAGACGTGAGGTCAGGTAGATGGAGATGACACACAGAATCATCAGACCATGTACCACTCCATCTCTCTACTCCATCACGGCCCTCAGAGATGGGGCCGTCTTTCCTTGTGTTTATTGAAACCCTTCTCAGCTTAAAAAGCATACTCACTCAAGTCCCAGAAGGCAGGAAAGGCAATGTCTTCCCCACAACAAGCTTGTCAAAAGGCAATGCCTTCCCCCTAACTTTCTATCTGTTTCCCTGCCATTCCTGTTGATAGGGTAGAGTCATGAACCCATGACCTAGTCCAAAGAGAAGTTAGACAAGTGAAAATCTCATTTCATTCTGGGAGGTTGAGGCATGGCTCTGAGAAAGCAGTTAGATAATTGGGTTGCAGGCGCTCACCAGCTCATCTCTGGCAGGTGTTTAGGTTGCAGGCACTCACCAGCTCGTCTCTGGCAGGTGTCTGTCTAGGTTGCAGGCGCTCACCAGCTCATCTCTGGAAGGTGTCTAGGTTGCAGGCGTTCACCAGCTCATCTCTGGCAGGTGTTTAGGTTGCAGGCACTCACCAGCTCGTCTCTGGCAGATGTCTAGGTTGCAGGAGCTCACCAGATCATCTCTGGCAGATGTCTAGGTTGTAGGCACTCACCAGCTTGTCTCTGGAGGTGTCTGGATTGCAGAAGCTCACCAGATCATCTCTGGCAGATGTCTAGGTTGCAGGCACTCACCAGCTCGTCTCTGGCAGGTGTCTAGGTTGCAGGCACTCACCAGCTCATCTCTGGCAGGTGTTTAGGTTGCAGGCACTCACCAGCTCGTCTCTGGCAGGTGTCTAGGTTGCAGGCACTCACCAGCTCGTCTCTGGCAGATGTCTAGGTTGCAGGCGCTCACCAGCTCATCTCTGGCAGGTGTCTGGATTGCAGGAGCTCACCAGCTTTAGCTGGTATCTGAGTGGTAGGCTGCTCCCCAGCACTATCTCAGTCTCCTCTCTTCCTGGACACGTGATTTTGCCTCCCTACATTTCTTTACTTGCAAACTCCCACTTGATCTAGAAGTTCCATTCACCCCTCTTTGAACTTCCTCAACTCCCCCACAGAGAATTTGCTTAATTAGATCGGAATCTGTGCAACACATTGTGCTGGCTTCTTTGTCTGTTACTGGAAATATAAACTCCTTAATTCCCGCGACAATGTCTCTGCTTTTGTGTGCTCCCACCTTCACCCACACTGAGCCCTGGCTATTTAACTAACCAGCTGCACTGAATTAACCCTGATGAATGGATTCACGAGCAAATGATTAACTACGTTACAACACAGCCTACACCCACCGTGCTTATACCACTTAAGGCCATTTGGGTGCTTGAGGACAGAAACAGATGCTCTGGAGCTCTCTTGGTCGACAAGACAATGGATGCCCACGACTTTGAAAGCTGTTCCTGTTCAGAAATAAGTGAAAGCGCTTAGGGAATCTTGTACCTTCTACTCAGTTGTATTGTGAATCTGAAATGACACTAAAAAAATAAAGACTACTAAAACAAATAAACTTGTAAGTAAAATATTCTTGGTCACATAGTTTATGTCTTGTCTCCTATCCCTGTTATAGAAAACATCCACATATGTGCTAGCTGAAAAATGTATTTGTTTTCTCACAGTTCAGTAAGTCAGGAGTCAACCTAGGTTTTGGGGTGCACTGTGGCCTAAACCCTTTCCACGGGCACTGAGGTCACACTCGCCACTTGCCATTCCAGCTTCTAAAGGCCATCCACATTCCTCATTCTTCTGTCTTCATGCCGGCCCACACACAGGTCAGGTCCTTCTCATGTCACATTTGGGAACCTCCTACTGTCCCATGGCACGCTCTAACCACAGCTTGGAGCATTTCTCTCATTTGAAGGGCTTAACATGGTCACTGAAATAATCCATGGTCACCTCCCTACCCTTAACCTTCATCAGAGCCTCTTTGTCTTAACATACATGACCACAGGTTCCTACACAGGTTCTCAGCACCTCAGTCATTGCTGGAGGCCATTGCTCTCCTCGCCATGTGTGCAGAGGAGGACTTACCTGAAGAACTCTGAGCGTGAGGTGTCAGGCCACACCTGCAGAATTGGAGTAGGGAAAGGTCTTCGGAGGTCCTAGGATCCGCTCATAACAAACACACAAGTGGTTTCTTAGAGAATGGGAAATAGTAACAGGGTACATTTGAGGAGTTCCAAGTTTATAGTTTTTCCTGGTGCTCACAGCCTTTCTGGGCAGGAAAGACAGGCTGTGCCCATTCCAAGATGGATCCCTCATGTTGGACTACAGATAACAGAGCAGGGATAGGGTAATCCCTTCAGGTATCGAGAACGTGCCCCTGAGGAGAATGTCCACTGTCATCAGTGCCAACAACAACAAAATAACAGTATCAGCATCTTTCATCTGGGACCAGAGAACAGGCAGCATCACAGAGGAAGGACCTGGGCTGCCCTGGAGGCCCCTCTGCAGCTGGGAGGAGGGCCCACTGATCTGCAGCCATCATCCCAGGAAGCACAAAGATGCTTCTCCATATTGTCCACCTAGTGAGCCCCATCCCAGCCTCATTAGGTGGACAGATTTCAGAGAATCTCCTGTGAACGGAGCTTGGCTGGCTGCTCCAAAGCTGTCCCAGCAGGTGTACCTAGGTGTGTGGTGTGCTGGTTTCCCAGTTAATTTTCCATAATTATTAGTAGAATAGAAAGATCTAATGAAAATTTGGGGAACTGCAATCTGAGCTGGGGCATGTGAGATTTGCAGCCTCTAGATCATTGCCTGGTCTTCCCTGGTGTGCATCAGCAATGAGATTTCTGATCCTTTTTTTTTTTCTGGACTGACATTTCCAGCTCTGTGAAGTGAAAACAGCCTTCTATTCCATGAAATTCCTCCCCTCCCTGATCAAGGGGTCTTTATTGCTCTTACTTCAGAATGGGGGACTTGAGCAAGACTCACAATTAATTCTCCATGGCAGTTTGTATGAAGTGAACAGCCCTGGGCAGGGGAGGCAGGATTGAGCTGTGCTGTGGGGCTCGTGGACCGGGGTAGCAATGTCCTTACCCCTCTTCATCACCAAGAGCTGACCAGCTTGATGCTCTCAATAACTGCATCCTTGATGTGATGGAAATTTCCCAGGACAAGGATGGAGCTGGCACAAAGCCCTCGTGCTGGCGTGGGTTTGAGTTATGGGTGCTGGAGATGAGATTCCTAAAATTAAATGTTACCAGACTCCACAGAAATCCACCATTTCATTGACCAGTCTTCCCCTTCTTATCTCCCTAGCTTTACCCCTCAGGTCTTGCAGAATGACTCCTTGAATCACTAGCAGCCACAGTATCCTAAGGGACACTTATACTGCCACCTACACAGACACTTTGTGGATGAACAGCACGCAGTCACAGACAAAAGACAACCCAGGTCCTCCCGGCCTCTCCCTGTTCAACCATCTTTACAGAGACCAGTATGGGAATTGGAGGATGAAAAATAAATTTATATAACACCATGCTACTGAGTTGGGATGGGGGCAGGAATCTCTGTTCCGTATCGGAACCACACACTCCTTTAACCTAAAAGCAGTTTTGGCAGAAGAAAAAGAGGCAGTCTTATCCACACATCACCTCCCTCTAACTAGACCTATACACAGCATGTCTCGGGGATCCTGGATGAATGAATGAGTAAATGAATGAGTGAGCGAGTGAATGACTGTGCCCGAGAGAGACTGTTACATGACCAGCTTTTCCCTATGCCAGTCTCTTTGGCGGCAGGGCCCTTCCTCCAGGAGGCCTCCCTGACTCCCTTCTGGGCTGGGTTAGGTGACCTCCTTAGGCGTGCAGGAAGGCTGAGCTGCTGCCTTGGCCTCTGTCCTGCCTCCCTCTGGCTCTTGTGTATATCATGGAAAAGGACTGAGAGGACTTCCGTCCAGCTGTGCCATGGTGCTGCTGCTCCATTCCTGCGCCTGGCCAGCAGCCCTGGATGAGCATGTCCCATGTGGCAAGGGATGTGTAGTGTTGCTCAGACTGGGCTCATGAGGCTCCTCGGCTCTCCAGCTGCCCCAGTCCCTGGCTTCAGGGAGAGCTATGCGGAGAGAAGGAACATCACAAAGAGCAATACGGAGGGTGCAGATTTTTTTTTTAAAATAGAAGATACCAAGGAAATACCTTTTCAGTCGATCCTTTGAAATTTTCAGTTCAGATATTAAGGTTAGCTCCCAGCTGGGTTGATTAGTTTTCAGAATCAGAGTCCATTTGATCTTCATGGTCACAAGGGACATCGAGATCTCTGTGATAAATAACAGTGTGGGTTCAGAGAGGTGAGGAGCTCTGGAGAATGCCACACAGCCTGTGAATGGCAAAATAATGCCAGAAGCTCAGCTGTAGAATTCCCTCCCACTTGTGATCCCTGCAGAAACCCAAGAGACTGCCTAAGAATAGCGTCAGCCTGGCCTGATTTTCTGAGAAGCCCTCGTTTAAAATAGGTCTTCCAACTTGCCGGCAGGTACACTAGAACCCGCACAGTTCCAGCTGAGGAAGATGGCCCCCCTTGTCCAAGCCACAACCCAGGCTGACATTCTTGCTGTGTGTCTGGTCACTGGGACTTTACCACTGTGCATGCTGCCTCTGAAACTGCAGCCCCAAGTTCTGCATCTCCAGGGCCATCAGCTGTGGATGCCTACCTAATCTGTTTAACCTCCATCCCCACCACAGACCCCCATCCCACCACAGACCCCCATCCCACCACAGACCCCCATCCCACCACAGACCCCCACCCCACCACAGACCCCCATCCCACCACAGACCTCCATCCCCACCACAGACCCCCATCCCACTACAGACTCCCATCCCACCACAGACCTCCATCCCACCACAGACCTCCATCCCACCACAGACCTCCTTTCCCACAACAAATCTCCATTCCTCTACAACACAAGAGGCCTCTTGGAGTGGCTCATTCTCTTTCTCCATCCTTTCTTACTTTCTGGGATCCAAACAAGACAGTCATAAAACTCTCAGCTGGAAGAACCAATAGACAAGAAGAGCCAGGGTACCCAGACGATGGCTTCGAGACATCTCACTTAAACACTTGAAGTAATTGACTTCTGTGAAAATGTAGATCACTGCTTCCATGCAATGAGAAAACAGCCTGACCATCTAAGTAAAGCACAAAAACGAAATAATAACAAAATATAGAAGGAATGACCATCAGATGACAAACCAATCAACAAGCGTCAGCCATGGAGATACAGGACAGTGGACAGAGACAGGTTCCCAGCTGGCCAGGAATCCCTCCCTCCATTCCCTATTCTGACTAGATAGCTTACCTCTATTCCTGGGGGAGCCACTTTCTCTCTTGGTTTAGACTTGGGGCTAGTCTTGTCCCAGGGAAGCTATGAAAATGGGATGTCCCCACTTTGGGGTTTTGAGGTTTGTAAGTGTCCTTTGTGGATCATAGAAGCCTGGGTGGAAGAGACACTGTGGGGATGTTGACTACTGGCATTGAACTTAACCAAGAAAAGCACTACCCAGGGAACCCTCCAAAGACTCCTGGTCGAACACCTCTGCCTTAGTCGGGTTGTTCTCATAATTTCATGGCTCATTCCTTTTAGAAAGCAGCAAGACATCTCACTCTGTGAGGAGAGAGGGGGTTCTGGAACATGAGACATCACGTGACCAGGTGTTGCGACACCTTGGTCTAGACTTGGTTCTGTATTAACCTACTTTGTGACACTTTGCACATTAACAAGCCTCTGTGAGCCTCAAAATTGTTTTGAATTAGTAAATGAAAGGCTTCTCTAAATACTTATGATAATGGTCCTCCTTCTGACAGCTAGGGCTAGGTGTCCCAGGAGGGTGGCCTACCTGCTCAGCTAAAGAGGCCAACCTGACAAAATCTTACACAAGAGATGACCCTGCTCAGACTTCGGCAAGTCCACAACCTGAACTTTCCCAAAGTTGGGTCCTCACTCTTCCCTTCCTCCATGCTGTCCCCCCCTCCAGAGCAGCTCTCAATCTTGGGGTCCTGTCTCAGCTTCCTATGGGAAAGAAAAATCTGAGCTCTTCCCAGAATGCCTAGTACCAGCCACTGGACTAGATGAGGAACAGCCCAAACACTAACATACTTTCTCGCTTATAGCACCTCCCAGACAGAGACCAGGGCTCCCTCAACTATAGGTCAGACTTCAAGCAATGGCCTACAGTGTTTGATGAGGAAGCATTGTAAAACATGTGTTAGGGAATATTATTTTAAGGTGTGTTACTTTTGTTTATGTTGCATTTGTTTAACTCTATGAAGCTGTGTTACTGTGCCTGTCTAAAACACCTGATGGTCTAATAAAGAACTGAATGGCCAATAGTGAGGTAGGAGAAAGGATAGATGTGGCTGGCAGGCAGAGAGAATAGACAGAAGGAGAAATCTGGGAGAAAAAAAAGAAGTAGCCAGAGAAGGAGAAGGACCCAGGGCCAGCCACCCAGCTACACAGCAAGCCACAATGTAAGAGTAAGATTTACAGAAGAGAATGGGAAAAGCCCAGAGGCAAAAGATAAACAAGGTAATTTAAAGGTAAGAAAAGCTGACAAGAAACAAGCTAAGCTAAGGCCAGGCATTTATAATTAAGACTAAGCCTCTTTGTGTGATTTCTTTGGGAGCTGAGTGGTGGATCACCTGAGAGTAAAGAGTAAAAACAACCCACAACAAACATGGATAATGCCAGACTCTTGATAGCTGTTAAAAAATGATGGGTGGATATTTATTGGGGGATTTTGTTTGCTTGCTTATCTTCTTTTTATTTGTTTGTTTATTTTGACACAAAGTTTCATGTATCCCAGGCTGGCTTTGAACTCACCATATAGCTCAAGATGGCCTGGAATGTCTTACCCTCCTGCCTTTGCCTCCTGAGAGACAGGATCACACATGTGAGCTGCCATGCCTGGTTTATGCAATGCTGAGATAGAACCCATGGTTTTAGGAATGCTAGTGGATGCTCTTATTTTTTTGAGATAAGGACTTGTTATATGGCCCAGGATAGTCAAGAATTTATGGCCTTCCTATGCCTCAGTCTCCCAAGTTTTAAGAATACAGGCACACACCAGGCAGCAGACACACGCCTTTAATCCCAGCACTCGGGAGGCAGAGCCAGGCGGATCTCTGTGAGTTTGAGGCCAGCCTGAGCTATAGAGCGAGATCCAGGACAGGCACCAAAACTACACAGAGAAATCCTGTCTCAAAAAACAAAAAACAAACAAACAAGCAAAGCATACAGGCATGATTCACCATTCCCAGCTCATGATAGATAGTTGAAATACCTGGGGTCTCGTAATGAGTGAATAACAGATTTCCAGCTGGGCTCTGGCTTCCTGTTTCTGAGACCTGCTGTCCTCTGACTCTAAGGTGTTGTTTCCAGAAAGAGGTCCTCCCCTCTTCCTGCCCCATAAGTGATGTGGCCTGGACTCGCAGGAATCCCTATGCTGGAGGGCAGGGACCCAGAGCTGAGTGAGCAGAGAAGTTCAGAGGCGCTAAAGGGCTGGGTTCAAGTGTCAGCTCCACAGCCAGGTGACCTGGACAGGACACTGTCTTTTGTTCTCATCTGTCAAGAACGAGAACTTTTGCCGGCGCTACCTTCTAACTTCTCAGACACGCTGTGAGAATCCATCAGGAGTGGAGACACAAAAAGCCTTAAAAACCACAAATGCATGCCTAATGGAAAGATTTGTTCTTACACGGAATTTTTTAAACCCCTTGTCCTGAGAACCAGAGATGATCTGGGATGTGAATATTTGTGTGTGTTAGAATTCTGTCTTTAGTGGAAGGATCTTTCTGATTAGGGAAGCTGGATGGGCTGACACAGGGATGGGGAAGGACATGCTAAGGTCACATGACTGACACTGTGTTCTGACTTCCAGGGTAGCACTGTCCTCTAGTCTGCCTAAGGCTGTGGTGTGTGCTGCTGGGAGGAGGGTTCCTGCTGGGTTTGTTTGCCTGCTGGAAGACCTTCTGTTGCCATCCCACTTATTCAAGCAACTTCCATTTGTCGGAAAGGGCAACTTTGCATAATAAATTGCATTGGTGTAATCAAATATTTCCATAGATTGAATTAGGTTTAATTTGTTGTCCTCAATACCAGTCCCCCTTTTCCCAGCAGAGCTGGCCACCCCTCCTTTCTTCTGAGTCAAGAAACATCCCTTGAAACAATTCTTCAGCCAGTATCCTGAGAAGGCCAGACCAAATCCCCCACAGCTGATGTGGGCATACTCAGTGTTGGGAAAGGTGGGCGTGCTCAGTGGAAGCCATAGTATTCTCACACTTGGGCATCACTTCACTCAGCACACTGTCAGCATTGGTCAGGTTCTTGAATAATAGTTCAAGGAGTGTTATTCTACGGGTGTGACATCATTGATTTATCTCTACTAACGGGAGTGCTTCAGATCCTCTAATTAATTTTGACTAGTCACTTTATTTCTGAGCCTCAATTAGCTCTTCTGTGAATGAGAGATGACACCTGTGTCACCAACCTCACAGGACACTTGTCAGGCCCTGTCATGGTTCGTGATGGACTACAACAAAAAAACTGTGAACTGGATACTGAGTGTCTGGCAAACAACCAAAATTTATTTCTTACAGTTCTGGAGGTTGAAAAGTCCAAGATCACTGTATCAGCAGATCTGAGGTCTGGTGAGAGTCTACCTTCTACTTCATAGATGTCTGTATTTCTACTGTGTCCTCCCACAATGGAAGGGGCAAGGAATTTATCTGGTCTTCTTCTAAAAAGGTACCAATTCTATTCACTATAGCTTCATGCTTCTGAGTTAAAAACCTCCCAAAGGCCCCATCTCTTAATTATCATCCCACTAGATTTAATTTTAAGAAGTTGGGGAGACACTAATACTCCTTCCATAGCTGGCTGATATACTAGCAATAACCATGTTTTGCAGATGGGTGAGTAATGTGTGCCAGGGACACACTGTGCCAGGGAAGAGCCCTACATGCCCCGTGTCATTCCATGCCCTGACCAGCCCTGAGCACTGTCACCGTAAGTAGACGAGGGAACCAAAGCACAGAGAGCTTGCTTCAGGTCACAGAACTGGAAATTGAGGTGCTTGGCTAGATAACTAGCCCAGAAGAAATGGGAAGAGCTACAAAATCCCCATCAGACTTTGTGGACTCAGAAGTCGAAAATCCACATAAGTTAAGTACAGGGGGAGCACCAGCCAGATCCAGGGCCATCTAGCAACCTACCAGAGACTTACCTTTTAACCCACAGGGAGCAGAAGCCCAGTGGCTTGAGG